AAATTGATAATGGTAAAGGTTAGCGAAGGTTAGCGAAGCAAATAAACAAAAAGACAAACAAACAAATATTGCATAACAAGAACAAGAACAAGAACAAGAACAAGAACAAGAACAAGAACAAGAACAAGAACAAGAACAAGAACAAGAACAAGAACAAGAACAAGAAAGAGAAACATTATCATTCTCATCAACACCAACAGCATAAAGAAACCTCAAACTCCAAGGCGTATCCTATATTGTTTCTCTCTGGAGCAGTTTTTGATAGTTTTCGCATTGTGTTCTGTAGATTATAAACTGGGAATTCTGTGTTACCACAGGTGAAGACTTCATTTAGAGARAGATGTATAAAAACATACTGTTCCTGAAAGATAAGCAGACAAATATGATTTTAAGATTATATAAGGAAATAAATAGTAAGTAAGAACACTGGGTGGGCTTTCACCTCTCGGAAGATGAAATCCAATAGGACTGTTCAACTCCACAGAAAATTGGCCTGTTGCAGAAAATATATGGCGCATGCTCATTCAAAACCACTTTTTGGCACTAACGCCAGTGCTTTAGTGAYACCAGAGCAAGTGATGGATAGTTAGAGTAGCAAGTGTTAAGACTTTCTTTACTTCTCAGGTATAATGTATGGATCTGAAGTAAATAGTCTCTTTTAACCGCCGCGACTTCCGGTCTAGTCAAATTTCCTCCCCGAAAGTAACGGCTGTTTACCCAGGCCCAACATTCCTTTCCCTTTGATTGACCAATCACGGCTTGMCTCCTGAAAACCAGGAGCCGTTTGCGCCATAACAAAACAAAATAGTTGTTATTGCAGCTGCGAAATTTAAAATCAGAGAGTTAAACGATTATCAAAGGAATGCTATTCTCAAGTTTATAGTAGATAGAGTCGATGTGTTCYTTAATCAGCCCACTGGGTTTGGAAAATCGCTAATTTTTCAAACATTGGCATGTACTTTCGYTCACAAGTTGGGTTCGTCGGAAATTATCGTCGCTGTGTGCTTAATCCGTTTTAAAAACTTGCTTGAAACAAAGAAAACACTTACTATCATCTCCGATATCTCCCCGACAACGTTTTTTTGAAATAAATGAGTTTGAAGACSGTTTTTGAGGAAGTACATTTGGCATATTTTCAACACATAATTTTAACGGTGTATGTGCAACACCCATTTTGTATAAATTTCTGTTGGTTAAGTTTTTTTTACAGAATCGTGGAATTGGGGTTTATTTAAACACAATTCTGCATGTTATTCGGTATTTTATGAATCCCACTATGCATGCGGTCTTATAAGTGCATAACTCAATTAAAGGGAAACCATTTATTGAAGCAAAAAAAAAAAAAAAATCTCCGATAAACGTCTTCGGCGAACTCAACATCACTTGTAACTAAAAACAGGGTGCTGGAATGAAGTCGCGGGAAATTTATCAGGTTCAATTCAAAACGTTTTGATTGTCTTTGAGCCTCTCTCTCTCTTCTTTTGATTGGTTGTTGTTAAAAAATCGGAAAGGAATTTTGCGCCTGGGTAAACAGCCGTTACTTTTGGGGAGGAAATTTGACAAGACCGGAAGTCGCGGCTGTTGAAAGAGACTATGAAGTAAACAGCTCAGTTTTTTTCTTTAAGAAATGATAACTATCGTTTTCGTGTTTCACTGACACAGGAGAACTCCCATTTTTCCATCTTTTACATGAGATAATGTTTTTTTATGCACATTCAGCACATTATTCTATTCAATCAATCTTCCTCGTCGTGCCTAGTGGCACATTGGGCCTTACATTATTCTATACAATAGCCATATTGTTTTAAAGTAAATCAGGCTTTCTTACCTCGGTCTGCACCATATATGGTCTGTCATTTCTGATGGATGCAACGTAGTCTGGTATGGCGACGTTTTTGAGGTGTTTGGCACGTTCCAACATGGCGTCGATCACGATGTACGCACCAGTCCGACCAACACCAGCGCTACCAAATAAACAAAATATTTGTCAAGTTCTTAAAATAGGAAATAATAGAAATAAATTATAAACCGCAAAAGGAAAGAAACGGACCAAAAGCCTCTGAAACTTCAAAAATCTAATCAGAGGCGGATCCAAGAAGGTTAATCGCTCTATTTTTCGTGAGTARATAGTTTTTTTAAAATATACTATCGTATTAAAATTCACTTCATAATAAATTGATAAAACATCTATTCACTTGATAAAGGAGAACATCGAAACTAAAAGGCAGTTTCTATATAGCACTCGGGAGAAAATAAATGTGCTTTTGAATGTTCAGTTCTCTTCCTTTGCTTTGAGGGTACACGATTTATAATGGTTATTATGATGTTCGAGAATCATAGGACTGACCTGCAATGAACCACCAAAGGACCAGCATGATCTGGATTCAAAGCATTTACTTGTCGCCGTAAACCTAAAACGGCTGTAGAATATTGTGGTACTCCATGATCTGGCCACACAGTGAACTGGAAATGGTTAACCTCAAGACTCTCATTGGTGTTTGACTAGTCATACGAGAATTTATTACATTAGGAATGCTGGTATATTTTGTTCAACTTCGTTTCAAAGGTCCAGTTCAATCGACGAAACTCTAGTCTGCTCGAAACAAATGAAGTTTTGGTATCGATAGGAAGAGATAATGCTTGATTTGGTCATGCATGTAAGATTAGATTGAGGCGAGCTTAATCTACTTTCTTAGAATGAGTCCCATAAATCGAGGCTATTCATGATAAACCATTTTTAAATACTTAAAAGTATTACAATCAGCCCGTGAGTTACCTTTGTTAATAAGAGAGTTCGTATGATATAATCAGGGAAAACCTCTGACTTTTGAATTATGACAGTAATATCCCGGTGAGTTTCTTTATCTTCTGGCCAGTATTGATGACATTTTGCCTACAAAACAATATTAACATMAAAGATACTTTTGATTCTTATTTTATTCTTCTTGTCCCTCTTCTTCCAACCTTTGATCCCTCTTTCAGATTGGTCAGCATGACTATAGTACATGAGTTCACTTCCCATATCATTTGCCAAAAATCAGCAACAGTCTGCGGTGTAGGGCCTGTGGAATGTTTTATAGAATAATCGTTTAATTAATTTATCAAATCATCAAATTTGCATRGAATTTTTTTTTTGATAAATAATTGATTGCTTTAATCAATTCTTGAACAATTATCTTATTTTGCTGAAATTGTTTCCTGGATGATTTATTCATCTTAAGTCCGTTGGATGATGATTTTATTGATTGGTATTATCAATAGATTAGGTATAATGCAGAAATACCTTGAGTAGCTATGTATTTCTTGGTACTTCCATCATAGCCCTGTAATAAAAAGACATATCATCTTAAACGTCGTTCCAAAGGATGATACTTCTAGGGAGCTGCTATTGGTATTGCAATGGCAGCACTTTCAGTGTAGGAACCTGTCCCTGCCCCTCACCTTGATATAGGATGCGTTAATGTAATCTGAATGCTCGTCATCCGCCTGCCGACTTATCARCACGCGAGAATTGTCATCTAATGAGAAAAAAATCAAATTAATGTTAAGCAATAATATGCCATAAGAAGATTCTCATATTMGGCTATTTAAACTACTACTTGTTGTAAAGAAATGGAAAGGGGAGGTTTGAATATAAAGGAATACCARACTCACAGGTAACAATGTTGGCATAACGGTTCTTCTTCTTGTTGGCGGGTTTCTTAGCGATATCCACTGGGAAGGCATGAGCATTTGATAACATCTTTAAAGATGGACAGACAATAAAAAAAGGAAAATAAGGTCCCAGATGTATAAAGTATAGTTTAAAACAGGAGAGAGAGTGTTTCATCAGGTATAAAGATTCGAGCCGAAGGCGAGAATCTTTATTCCTTATAAAACACGATCTCGAGTGTTTTAAATGGCTTAAAAAAACTCCAACACTAATTTGAAACTCAAATCCGTTAAAATTCTGGGAGAAATTGCCGTACAAATATGTTCAGAGATAAATGGGGCAAACTGATCATYCGCGAATCACTTTACAAAGCACTCTTGTCATCCCACATTGAATACGCATAAAGTAAAATAGAAGCGCTCTTGGCTGTTCAKTGAAATCGGTTGACKTCCTGCATTGATCAATGATCAGGTTTCAAACCTGAGACCTTTGCTAGGGTCATGGACTTTTATATCTGATAAAGGTCACCCTTATTAGTATTCTTTATATAAAGAATACTACTAATAAGGAGTGTTTTATCAGATATAAAGGTCCATGCATGTGACCAAATAGGATGATTCTATTGGCCTATTAGCTCATTAATTATGTATGAGTTTTTTAAGGTTAAATAGCATCATCCTTAAGCTATCTGCTACGAGTAATGATTTGTAATTTCATAAGAATGTAGCTTAGAACCGACCGACCCAACAAACTAATTAAATTAACATAATTGAATTATACCAAAATCATCATGCATWTATATTGTAGAACATTATGTACCCGAAACTCCTCTTTGAGCTCTGAYTAGTCAMTGGCCTTCAAAGACTTCATAAACTCCAGAAATTGACGTTTTGTCATTGGTTTTATAGCCCCTGGAAATCAACAAAGAAATCGTAAAGGTAATCTAAAAAAATTACCCGCAAGATATACAATTAAATTAATTGTTATGGTCAAACGTACTTTTTTCCAAATTAGTAAACAACCTTTGTTTGGAAATGGTTGTTTATCGTACTCACTAA